TAAGGTTGTATACGAGTCACGTTTAGGTAAAATAGCACTAGTCTATAGGTCGTAAGTAATATAGGAACTCATAACAGGAGGTGAAGAAGGTCAGAAGGAAAGGTCACTTAATTACAATAATTTCGGTTATACAGACAAATGTAATAATAAGAGTAAAAATGCCCCCCCCATACTAATGTAATAGCAAAGTTTCAATGTAGACTGAAGTGTCCGGAACGACAAAACATACACATACACAGCAAACCATAACCAGAGTGCTCAGACCTACAAGGCCCCGCTACAAACCAGAGTGTTCAGACCTACAAGGCCCCGCTATAAACCAGTTTAGACTTACAAGGCCCCGCTATAAACCAGAGTGTTCAGACCTACAAGGCCCCGCTATAAACTATAGTGTTCAGACTTACAAGGGCCCGCTATAAACGAGAGTGTTCAGACTTACAAGGCTCCTCTATAAACCAGAGTGTTCAGACCAACAAGGCCCCGCTATAAACCAGAGTGTTCAGACCAACAAGGACCCGCTATAAACCAGTGTTCAGACTTACAAGGCCCTGTTATAAACCAGAGTTTTCAGACTTACAAGGCCCCGTTATAAGCCAGAGTGTTAAGACTTACAAGGCCCCGCTATAAACCACAGTGTTCAGACCTACAATGCCCCGTTTTAAACCAGAGTGTTCAGACCTACGAGCCCCGCTTTAAACCAGAGGTTTCAGACCTACAAGGCCCCGTTATAAGCCAGTGTGTTCAGACTTGCAAGGCCCCGCTATAAACCAGTGTGCTCAGACTTACAAGGCCCCGCTATAAACCACAGTGTTCAGACCTACAATGCCCCGTTTTAAACCAGAGTGTTCAGACCTACGAGGCCCCGCTATAAACCAGAGTGTTAAGACTTACACGGCCCCGCTATAAACCAGAGTGTTCAGACCTACAAGGCCCCGTTATAAACCAGAGTGTTCAGACCTACGAGCCCCGCTATAAACCAGAGTTTTCAGACCTACAAGGCCCCGTTATAAACCAATGTGTTCAGACTTACAAGGCCCCGCTATAAACCAGTGTGTTCAGACTTACAAGGCCCCGCTATAAACCAGAGTGTTCAGACCAACAAGGCCCCGCTATAAACCAGTGTTCAGACTTACAAGGCCCCGCTATAAACCAGAGTGTTCAGACTTACAAGGCCCCGCTATAAACCAGAGTGTTCAGACTTACAAGGCCCCGTTCTAAACCAGAGTGTTCAGACCTACAAGGCCCCGTTATAAACCAGAGTGTTCAGACTTACAAGGCCCTTCTATAAACCAGTGCTCATACTTACAAGGCCCCGCTATAAACCAGTGTTCAGACCTACAAGGCCCCGCTATAAACCAGAGTGTTCATACTTACAAGGCCCCTTTATAAACCAGAGTGTTCAGACCTACAAGGCCCCGTTATAAACCAGTGTTTAGACTTACAAGGCCCCGTTATAAACCAGAGTGTTCCGAATTGTTCCGACCTACAAGGCCCCGCTATTTTCAGACTTACAAGGCCCAGCTATAAACCAGAGTGTTGAGACCTACAAGGCCCCGTTATAAACCAGATTGTTCCGACCTACAAGGCCCCGCTATTAACCAGTGTGTTCAGACTTACAAGGCCCAGCTATAAACCAGAGTGTTGAGACCTAAAAGGCCCCGTTATAAACCAGAGTGTTGAGACCTACAAGGCCCCGCTATAAACCAGAGTGTTCAGACCTACAAGGCCCCGTTATAAACCAGAGTGTTCAGACCTACAAGGCCCCGCTATAAACTAGAGTGTTCAGACCTACAAGGCCCCGTTATAAACCAGTGTTTAGACTTACAAGGCCCCGTTATAAACCAGAGTGTTCAGACCTACAAGGACCCGTTATAAACCAGAGTGTTCAGACTTACGAGGCCCCGCTATTACCCAGTGTTCAGACTTACAAGGCCCTGTTATAAACCAGAGTTTTCAGACTTACAAGGCCCCGTTATACACCAGAGTGTTCAGACTTACAAGTCCCCGCTATAAACCAGTAATCAGACTTACAAGGCCCCGTTATACACCAGAGTGTTCAGACTTACAAGTCCCCGCTATAAACCAGTAATCAGACTTACAAGGCCCCGTTATAAACCAGATTGTTCAGACTTACAAGGCCGGGCTATAAACCAGTGTTCAGACTTACACAGCCCCGTTATAAACCAGAGTGTTGAGACCTACAAGGCCCCGCTATTACCAGAGGGTTCAGACCTACGAGGCCCCGCTATAAACCAGTGTTCAGACCTACAAGGCCCCTATATAAACCAGAGTGTTCAGACTTACGAGGCCCCGCTATTAACCAGTGTTCAGACCTACAAGTCCCCGCTATAAACCAGTAATCAGACTTACAAGGCCCCGTTATAAACCAGAGTTGGCCGACCTACAAGGCCCCGCTATTAACCCGAGTGTTCAGACCTACAAGGCCCCTATATAAACCAGAGTGTTCAGACTTACGAGGCCCCGCTATTACCCAGTGTTCAGACCTACAAGGCCCCACTATACCAAAGTGTTTTGTAAAGACAAAGTGTCCGGACTAATGAGGTAAACCAGAGTGTTCAGACTTACAAGTCCCCGCTATAAACCAGAGTGTTCAGACTTACGAGGCCCCGCTATTAACCAGTGTTCAGACTTACAAGGTCCCGCTATTAACCAGTGTTCAGACTTACAAGGCCCCTTTATAAACCAGAGTGTTCAGACCTACTAGGCCCCGTTATAAACCAGAGTGCTCAGACTTACAAGGCCCCGTTATACACCAGAGTGTTCAGACTTACAAGTCCCCGCTATAAACCAGTAATCAGACTTACAAGGCCCCGTTATACACCAGAGTGTTCAGACTTACAAGGCCCCGTTATACACCAGAGTGTTCAGACTTACAAGTCCCCGCTATAAACCAGTAATCAGACTTACAAGGCCCCGTTATAAACCAGTGTGTTCAGACTTACAAGTCCCCGCTATAAACCAGAGTGTTCAGACCAACATGGCGCCGCTATAAACCAGTGTTCAGACCTACAAGTCCCCGCTATTAACCAGAGTGTTCAGACCTACGAGCCCCGCTATAAACCAGAGTTTTCAGACCTACAAGGCCCCGTTATAACCCAGTGTTTAGACTTACAAGGCCCCGTTATAAACCAGTGTGTTCAGACTTACAAGTCCCCGCTATAAACCAGAGTGTTCAGACTTACGAGGCCCCGCTATTAACCAGTGTTCAGACCTACAAGGCCCCGCTTTAAACCAGAGTGTTCATACTTACAAGGCCCCTTTATAAACCAGAGTGTTCAGACCAACATGGCGCCGCTATAAACCAGTGTTCAGACTTACACAGCCCCGTTATAAACCAGAGTGTTCAGACCTACAAGACCCCGCTATAAACCAGAGTGTTCAGACCAACAAGGCCCCGCTATAAACCAGTGTTCAGACTTACACAGCCCCGTTATAAACCAGAGTGTTCAGACTTACGAGGCCCCGCTATTAACCAGTGTTCAGACATACAAGGCCCCGTTATATACCAGAGTGTTCAGACCTACAAGTCCCCGCTATTAACCAGTGTGTTCAGACTTACAAGTCCCCGCTATAAACCAGTAATCAGACTTACAAGGCCCCGTTATACACCAGAGTGTTCAGACTTACAAGGCCCTGTTATAAACCAGAGTTTTCAGACTTACAAGGCCCCGTTATACACCAGAGTGTTCAGACTTACAAGGCCGGGCTATAAACCAGTGTTCAGACTTACAAAGCCCCGTTATAAACAAGAGTGTTCAGACTTACAAGACCCCGCTATAAACCAGAGTGTTCATACTTACAAGGCCCCGCTATAAACCAGTGTGTTCAGACTTACAAGGCCCCGCTATTAACCAGTGTTCAGACCTACAAGGCCCCGCTATAAACCAAAGTGTTCAGACATACAAGGCCCCGTTATATACCAGAGTGTTCAGACCTACAATGCCCCGTTTTAAACCAGAGTGTTCAGACCAACAAGGCCCCGCTATAAACCACAGTGTTCAGACCTACAATGCCCCGTTTTAAACCAGAGCGTTCAGACCTACGAGGCCCCGCTATAAACCAGTGTTTAGACTTACAAGGCCCCGCTATAAACCACAGTGTTCAGACCTACAACGCCCCGTTTTAAACCAGAGTGTTCAGACCAACAAGGCCCCGCTATAAACCAAAGAGTTCAGACATACAAGGCCCCGTTATAAACCAGAGTGGTCAGACCTACAAGGCCCCGCTATAAACCAAAGTGTTCAGACATCCAAGGCCCCGTTATATACCAGAGTGTTCAGACCTACAAGGCCCCGCTATAAACCAGAGTGTTCAGACCTACAAGGCCCCACTATACCAAAGTGTTTTGTAAAGACAAAGTGTCCGGACTAATGAGGACACAACATTACCAAACTAACAGTTAGCTCAAAAGGAGACTGGATTTAATTTACATACATCGAATTTGCTAGAGAACTTAATATTTGACGATCTAAAAAAGATAATTAACACAAAACATAATTTAATATATAATTATAAGAATAGACTTTTCTAGTTCGGGACACTTTAGTCTACATTAAATGCCCATTAAATTAGGATATGGTTGCATGATTTATCTTCCTTTACAGTTAAATATGTGAGCAAGAGTTATCTCTCTTGGATCGTGAGTCTTCTATATATCACAACACTTTCTACGGAACTCGTAGAGTCTTGAATGGCTTCCCATGTATTTTGAACAAAGCAGTTTCTAAAGCATACATATAAATACTTATATATACCTGGGTATACATTCAATAGGTTAATATAGTATTACAGATTGAATTATTTCATCGATATTTCATCATCAAATGGTAAAACTCGTTACGGTTCTAAAAATAACATGATGTCATCATGTTGAAATCTGATTGGTTGTTATTCTTGTACGTGAATATGATTGGTCGAATGCATCATAAGCCAACTAAATATAGTATTGACGTTATGGTCAATCCCCAGTTGTATATAAAACTAGCTGGGCAACACTGCATTTCATTCGGTAAGAACTTTTTTGAATAAAGCAGTATGTGATAGATTTTTAACCGGGCCACCTACCCACTAGCCTAGCGAGCCACCCCACCATCAATGACATTCGAGCCAACACGCAGAAAACACAACAACAGAACGACAATGACGCAAAATAATCGCCGACGCTCTAATAGCAATAATCGTCACCGAACGCAGGGGCCCACGACGGGGTCCTGTGTTAGTAAGGCCGCCTGGACGACGACGCCTCGGTGTAACCAGCATCACCGCAGTTTCTCTTGTTCGCCTCGACAAACCGGTACGGACATTAAGAGTTTGCCTCTCCAAGAGGAATGGGACAAGTACCACCCTCACTCGTCAAGGTTCAAGAAACGATGAGAAATTCTCCCCTCCAAGGACCTCATGTAATACATACGTTGGGGAGAATTTCTCAGTTGATCTTCAGCAGTATTTTAACTTCGTGAAATTACTGGAAAATAATTCCATGGGCGGTGTGATACACAATAATTTCTATCCCCTCAAGAAACTGAAGGAGATGACACTTTCGATAGCCGCCATAAGACTAGCGACAGTCCCAAACGCCGGAGGGAACTCCGTTGTTTCAGAGGTCCTGTCATTTGAGTTGCTCCAGAGGTGCTTCAGAGCCAAACTGCTGAAGGTGAGAATTTGTCTGTACCCAAGTTAAACTTGTTTTAAGTGCGTCTATCTAATTTTTAATAAGTTTATAAAATGCATAAGTATTGGAAACGAGTCTATACATAAAAGAGTATCAAAACATATTCATTGTTCATTTTTTGTGTGTCACAGAAATTATAGTGAGGCAATATTTAGTAGTTTATCTGTCAAACGAAGTCAGGATTTTTTTAAAGGTAAATTAACATAGAATCCAATCATGGGTAAACTGACGTAACGTGAAAAATTCTCTGCGGTATATGACATGTTTTAACTATGAATATGGATTTCCAAAAACTTATGTATTGTGGAGACGTACTGCTATCACCCTTAACGTTAATTATAGGTTTATGTATTATGGTGTTTCATAACTGTAATTGTTAATCAAGTATTGTTATATTCACATTATTGAACGGTGTTTTATGTATACTGTGATGTTACTCTCCCGTCTACTCTTATTATGTTTAGATAATGGTATATTTAATATTTTTGTCTGTATTTTGTAATTACAGACTGAGATGGAGGTCGACTATTTCCCCATGGGAGGGTCCATCACCGATTACGTGTGCGACATGTTCGGACACAAGATTGGTGTGTCCGTTACCCGAGCGATGAGGTTCCACGGGGAGTTCACGGAGGAAGACGCCCGCCGTCTGCTGACCAAGAAACTCAAAGGTACATATATGTATTTCATATTAGAGAATATTTGTTATATTTGTTTGTTAATGAACTTTTTATTTCACTTCGGAGTATAGAAGAATACTTGGATATACATTAAAAATTCGATACAATGCCACTTGTTTACTATGCCACCTCACTTACCGCCAACATATATCAACGCCCCCTTTTTCCTCTTTTTGTTTGTTTGTTAAGAATTTTCTAAAAAAAAAAAATCGACAACCCCATTTAACGCTAAATTATCTGTCCAAATGATGGCAGTTTAACAAGGTTTTACTGTAACCGGGTTAATCACAGGAAATAACATAAATGCGTGAAGTCAAATTTCCATTTGAAGTATCATGTTTTGTTTTGCACAAAACCAATAAAAACATCTGAATGTCAAACTTGTAAAAATGTCTATTTGAGACCAATCGCAAATGTGGTATAAATGGAAAAAAATGCACCACAGAAAATGATTGGTGTTGTTTTAAATTAACTGCATAACTGTTCATAGACTGAAATCGACTCATAACATTTTGATTTATTTTAAACAGGTGTCGTGCAGTCATCAAAGAACTCGATGGAGAAATGGGAGAAACAGATTCTACACGTGTGGACCACCAACAAAGACACGGCAAACACTCTGAAACGTGTCTACCACACCCTAGGGAATGACGTCACATCCAACACAGTCGTCATGATAACCGTCTCGACAAACGCGAAATACATCTTCAGAAACAGCTGAAATCCTAAGCAAGTTTTCACCTGGTAAAATAAACACCTAGACGCCCACATGTCTAGTAATTATGGTGCGATCCTGGTTTGAGGAGATTTATCCGTTAAAATGCATATTAAGCGTACATGTACCATACCCGTCATGCTGTGCTCAGATAGACTCGGGACGTCGGACCTGATTCCACGCCGAAAGGGAATACAGTCTTCCCAGTATAAAGAGTCGCACCAAAGAATGGTACACTTGTACATGTCAAACCAGAGTTCTGCATCGCAAACGGGTCACTTCCGGGCTTGAAATTTTGGAGGAAGAGTCTCAGCATATAGTGCTTTTCTATCGATCAATTAACAAAATACTTTAAAATTACAATGTACCATCGATTGCTATTCTAAAATAGAATATGATGTTTTTATACTGATCAAACAAAGACCAGTATTTTGTAAAAATGTGCAATGAATTTTATTTCTAAAATAAATTTTGATATTCTGAATTCATTATTGGATATTTATTTTTTTACGATATTTTGCAAAATTGCAGGACATTTTTTTCTGCTTTGTGTGAGATAGAAACTATTGTGGATAATCTCCACCTTAGAACAATAATAGTAATGGGTAGTCTCCCCTTGTAGACACAACCGTGTAAGGTCTGTATAATAACCTTCCTCGATACTCCAGGGGTTACGCTCACTTTCGCTCTCTGCGTCGCTGGAATATGTCACAGTAAAATTGAAGGCGGTCTCAATAAAAGAAAAACCTGACCAATCGCTAGGCTGAAACTTCAAAGTCAGTTAATTTACCGTTACATGACCACGAGATTCTTTTGACGTTCATCAAAGGGTCAAACTTGCCTTTCTTGTACATATCTTGTCCACAAGATGGCGCACACTGACCTTCAATTTGATCATGACATATTCCAGACATATTCCAGGGGTGTAGCGAGCGGAAGTGAGCATAACACCTGGAGTATCTAGAATGTATAATTACAAACTAAAAATGTTGCAGTCCCCCATCAACTATTTCAATAACGGTTTCTCAGCTTATGGATCCCTTCGTGCTATATTAATGAGGCAGGGTTCTCTCCCCTTACCGGCATTTATTGATGGTGAAACTTATGTTATTTTCTTCTTACAGGCTATAAAGGTTGAGTGTAATCCCCAATTCTATTCAATGGCAGTTAATCTCCCCTTACGAACTTTAATCAGGTTTGGTAAACTCCCTCCATGCTTTATGAGGTAGGATTGTCTCCCCTTACAGGCAATTATTGATGAGTTAACAAATGTAATGGTTAATCTCTCCAAACACCCAGGCAAATTTAGACCCACATGCTACAGATCGGGAGGTACAGACCGGGAGTGTGCCCAGTTACACCAGTAGATGCGTCAATAGTAGTCGTAGACTAATGGTATGACTTCGACAACGGCGAGTTAACGGCGAGTTAAACAGACTTTAATGTTGAAGAGTTATCCCCCGTTACCTTGTTAAACGGTGGTACATGTAGGTGATTACAGTTGGTAAATGTAGTATCTATGAAGGAGAATTGTCTCCCCTTACAGACTGTAAGCATTTTGTTTTAACTTTCAGACTATGTGCAGGTGATCTTCCGTTACAACCTAATGGTAAAGGGTAATATTCAACAGTTGATTATAATATTCCATGACGTCTTTTCACGGCCATTACTGTCCTTCCTGTAGATATTTCTATAGCAGTACGTGATATTTAGAAAACATCGATAATTTCCAGCAAAATATGACGTCACCGCACCCGATGAACATCTGGTCTTGAATTAAAGCCAGTGTGCTTGGCAGAACTCTACCAACCTCTTCCACAACCCCAACACTTTTCTATGTTTTGTGAACATTTTGTCTTCCTTGCTGTTCCGCTTCCTTCTATCTCCCTCGAAGCTCCGTGTCTCCGAGTCTCTATCTCAGAATGTTTCCAAATGTGATCAGTTTCATAACATGCAACTTGTTCATCCGACAAATCACCATGCGGTTTAACTAACATACTTGTTTGCAATTCGTACCAAAATATTGGGTTCATAATTGAATCGTCGGAGACAATTATATATAGCTGTTGATTCATAATGACTTGTATTGTTAGTTTCTGGAAGTTTATTATGATGGAATATAATTGGAAGCCATAGATATATAAATAGTTTTGGACACATTCCACTTACAATGATTATTTCTAAGATACATTTTACAGAAACTATTCAGATATAAACGTAACCGAAACGTCTTGCAATGTAGTCTGTATATTTATTAGTTCTTATATAAACCATATTTACATGATAGGATACACGTTTAATACCAATTCCAAACAGTTTAATTATGCTTTTTATATTTTTACCTTTGTTATGTTCGTCTATCGTCAATAATGTAAATGTGGCAATATTAGGTGCGTTCGTTTCCAAAGATTGTCTATTGTCAAAATTGTTTACTTGTAATTTAGTGGGTTTTTTACTCACAAGGAATAACTGTCAAATTCCGGATGTTTTGGCGTCCTATAACCGAAGCAAAGAACCCGAAAATTACACATACTTGTACATGTATGTAGCCGATAAAAATCGGTATCAGCATCACCGATATTAAATGGGTTACGCTCACCTTTATTCACTGCACCTCCGTATGATGTCATGACAAAATTCAAGGCACACAATAAGCCATTCGATTAGTTTCAAATAAAAAAACACCCTGACCAATCACTAGGCTGAAATATGTCCCTTGAAGATTACAAAAGAGCGACACTTGACTTCTGAGTCTGTTAATTTTACTGTTACACTGCCACACGAAGAGTAGGTTCGATGCCTACGTGTGGCAATCGCCGGGTACTTGTCGCAGGTCGCTGGTTTTTCTCCATGTACTCCGGCTTTCCTCCACCACAAAAATCAGCCACATCCTTAAATGGCCATAGCTTTTAATAGAACGTAAAACACAACACAGATCAACCAAAGGAAGAGCCTTATTGATAGCCATGTTTTCATGTATGGAAAATAACGAGACAAATGAACATTATTTGTTACACTGCCGCCTTTTTCACAACTACGTGTACGTGTCGTCACTGAGATAAATTGTCCAATTTCAAGTAAATTACCGCTGTTTGACGATGATGAGTTGTCAGATGAAGAAAATGCATTAATTGTTTCCTGTACTCAAAATTTCATAATCAGCTCTTGAAGATTTGAATGAGTTTTTCTTGTATTACCATATATACCTGTCGTTTGAACTGGCATCCTTCCTGTACTTAACTGTTTACAATCAGAGCAATTTTCTTTTCCCTATTTCCTATCCTATCCCCCCCTATTTTGCGTTTGTACTCATATACTCAACGCATTGCTGCATATTTTGTTCTCAAATATTATAGTCATAAAACATGTGGTCCTCAAATCTCATGTATTTCCTCCACTGGAGATGGATCTACATAAGTTGTAAAACTTGTTTCCAAATCCAATTTCAATAATTGTGTATTGCTTTACGTCATACTGTAAATGAAAAAGAAATAAAATAAGGTGTATATTAAACGAAGATCCTTCGATTCTGTCATGTCAAATTCCAGGGATGCACAGAACGAAAGTGATGATAACTCACCTCAGGAAGTTCAATTATCAGCAGCATTCAATATAACAGAAAGACGTTTGAACGAACACATGGTTTTTATCAGTATATTTTATTTGTATATGAAAACAGATGGAAAAGATTTTAAAAAATCCTGAAGAAACAAAAGGGAGACAACCTGATCTTTCCAATGTTACTTGCAATATCCTCCACTATACATTAATATTGAGTCTGAAGCATTTTATGCGACCATACATATTGTACCTCTTGCCTGTGTCACGGTAACCTTCTTTGGTATTTTTAATCAAAACAAACTAATGAATTGTAGACTTCACAAATTTAAAACAATTACCGGTTTTCAAACATGGGATTTCTATTACAGTTTGTTTAATCAACAGCTGTATTTTCTTGCAACAAGTTAGACTCGGCTTTACGATCATCACTTTCGCTGTCTTTCTTTTGAAACTGCAATTTTCCAAACTTTTTGACAAACACAAACACTACCTGCTACCTTTTGACGAAAGGACACTTAATATTCAACCTAGGAAGTTATAGGAAGGTATACATGTTAAATTGAAATTGTGACCCACTGTGATTAGATTAAACCTTGTTGTGAATTCTGATTTGAGTAGTAGAAGTCTTTATAACGAAACAAATCATTCTTCGTTGTGACATACAAGGGCGTAATCTTATTTCAATTATTGATGTTTGAAATATACATGTGGTTGACACAAATGAGCTGTTACATGGAAGTGATGTTAGAAAAAACAATGCTTTTATTTAAAATAAAAATATATTTTTTTACCTCGAATCCAGCCCTAGACTTAAGCTTACGTAAAATGACACTTTTCATTCAACTTTTTTGTTATTCTTTCCTTAAACCTCTTTCTGAAAGGTTATGTCCTTTTGGAATTTGCAATAATTAAAATCAAAATTATGGGCTTTTTATTACTAAATAACAATATATGGCCGAATATGCTTTGTAATGATGCAATATTTTTAGCCCTATCTGTTTGTTCCACTAATAGAATATGTTAAATCAAAACGTAACACTTTTAAAATACACTTGATTGCAGTGAAAGTATATTTTTTTTTTATATATTTCAAGACAAGACTTTTATTTCCGCTTTAAACTAAATAGTAAAATCATGTACGATCAAAAATGTAACGAGAAGTTTTCATTCGTAAATTCATTTTACTGGAGCTAGTCTATGTTTCATGCCAATTGGATACTATCTCATTGTCCTCTCGATAAGCCCACCCCTCAATCGGTGATAGTAGGGCAGTAGTGATATATATAGAGGTTACACAACGAGTGGTTGTTGAATATGGTATTTATTTCACTCGAGGTAGTTAATTTTCAAAAGTTACAAAAGACACGAGCTTTAGTGAGTGTCTTTCTGTAACTTTTGTAAATTAACTAACGAGAGTGAAATAAATACCATATCCACAACCACGAGTCGTGTGATCTGTTTCTACCACAATCTCATGATCAGTCGGAAATAACATACGCACATGTGTTTGTTGACAAGGCTGGCGTAGTGATATGACCCATATGAAAAAAGTCAAATTGTCAAAATTAATGTTTCGGCAACGACTTCATGAAAACATATAATAGATGAACGACTTTAAATATTGGGAGAAGCAGTATTGCATTAATTTAAATAAATTAAACACGGACTATATGCGCGTAAGCATATCGTACGAAGTCTGCCTCCCGCCAAGTGACAAATACGAACTTATCGCTGTTAATGTCCAAAACCATAGGCCTACGTTTCTTCGTGACGGTTCTTCGGTTGACGTTTATAGTGACAGTTCAGCCATAGTCAGACCGTCCAAATAGCGATAACGGGACGTTGGGAGAACGAAATATTTTCCGACACTGTGACAGATCTTGTTTTGGTTTCACGACCTGGAAACGCGACGGTGTGACGTCGAAACGATATTGAGCGTCTGCAGCAATTTTGCCTGAAACTAGCGATCAACTCTTTAAGTATCATTTTCTCTTAATATTGCCTTAATAACCCCCTTTTCCGCATAACATCATAAAGTCACCAACATTTGTCGAATGTTGACAGCAGACGACGTAAAAAAACCAGATTGTGGCAAAAAGCGCGTGGAAAAAGTCGTCCCGGTGAATGTTCATCTTCTCGACCAATCAAAACTTGTGTAGGTCATATACCACGTGTGGTATATAACTCCTATTTATATAACAGTCAGCGTGTTTATACAATGATCTAAGAGTGGAATAACACATCGTATTGTGGTAGAAAATGTTTTATGTGCTGCCATTCAAAGGGGGCCACATTCTTCTTAAGTAATTTCCTAGCGAATTGTAATAAGAGTTTATGGAATGCGTTGATATTTTATGGTTCCAATGTCGAGGTCACTGTTTCTAAAGCGTCATCACTAGCGACATTATTTCCAAACAGATTCTGATATAAAATCAAGCTTTATGATAATGATTTATTATGATAATACATCTGTCAAATTGTGTTACATGGATCCAAAGGTCAAGGTTACTGTAACTATTTATAGAAATACGTCAACAAACCAATTCAGTGTCATCTCTTTAGCCGAACTCATTTTATTTTTTATCTTGATCAGAATTTATACAAAGGTCAGTCAGCTATGTGACAAAGGACAGAGTCACCTTTTAAAACAAAATTTGTTGTAATTTTTCTGGAGATTTCCTGTCCAACAGGTTTTAATAAATCTCAAAACAATAAATCTAAAACTTAGTACAATCACGGACTTAGATCTAATCTAATTCCGTGGTACAATGAATAAAAAGAAAAAAAACATACATTGATGCAACTTCGCCGTTGCTATAGATATACACAAACTAATTTTGGGTGCATTCGTGTTGTCCAGATAATTTCCTGGATTTTTTCCTTTGAGTTACAATAGTTTATCCATACACTAGAGTATTTTATACTTCTTAAGTATACAACAATTATGAAACAGGTTATTTCAGCTTGTATTAGTTACCCTTGGTGGCCCGGATGTTAACAATATATTATATTGTTTATTCTGTCCATTTCTATGAATACTGGAATCAATTCAATGCACATTTTTTTTTGTACATGTTTGTTTAACTTTTGCTATAAATTAGTTTCACTTCCTTCCTGAATTTCTTGTCTCTAAATCCGTAGATAAAGGGATTGATGGCACTGTTAACGAAGTACGACCATATGAAAGTGTAATAAAACTGGGACTCCAGGAGATCAAGTTTACAGTCTAAATCCTTCGAGAGAAAATACAATAACGCCAGCGCATGGTGAGGAAGCGCGCTTAATATGTACGCTATTGTCACAACGCCCAATGTCCACGTTGTCTTGCGCACACTGTAGTTTGCGCAGCCATTAGAGGATGCTTTACTTCCTCTCCTCGGCGAATCATCATAGTCTGTGCTCAAAGACGACATTTTGCGCATACTTGACCGGAAGACATTATGTTTAAATATCTGTCGACCAATCAGAGTGTACACAATGATCAGTGAGGTAGTAACGGCTATAAAATAAAGGGAGGTAACTGAGCTATACAGTATCATATATAACGTCTTCTTGTATTTGTTGGCTGTAATACACCGGAAACCTGTCAATCCAGGGACGCCAGTTTGTACGTCACTCAGTCCGAACAGAATCGGAGCCGGCCATGACAGTGCAAGAGAGATAATCACACTGATAAAACATAAAAACTTCGCTTGATTTGTCGATATCTGGCGTCGAAGTGGATGTAAAACTTTCCGACATCTGTCTATTGCTATGACAACCAAAGCGGAAGTGGACATCATCGACAGGAAGTACAAAATAAATCGAAAAACTTTACAAAATATGTCCGACGGAAATGTTACCGGAAATAACATATATATAATAACAAGAGGGGCGCTGACGGTACAGTTAACAATATCAAGAATGGCAAGCCAAAGAACGTATATCCGGTAGTTTGACTTCCGGAAACGTCGAAAGTAGATGAAGATAACCAGATTGTTCCCGATGAGTCCAACGATACAAATGATGGCGAGGAAGGTGATACCCCCAATGAAGCGTAGGATAAGTTTGTTGTTTATGTCGACAAGTGTGACGTCAGGTTTGTCCAAGGTGTCCTGCATCCATTGATAACACACCGGAACTAGTTTGTTCTCTGTTGTATTTGGTGACGCCATCTCGTCCCTGGAAAAGAAAGAAAATGATGATTAGTTAATTAATTTACCATCTTGTCAATATTAGTCTTAGAAAGTAGAATCGTCAGCACCTTCCGTAAATAAGAAATGGAAAGTACCTACCGTTAACGATTCAGAAAGTGGTCGATATCACGATACCCCTAAAAACATGTCATGGATGAATATTGTGAAGTGGTCAACTAAACTGTTCCAGGTTTAAGGTATACAAATAACACGATATACATAAACAGAATCATAGACTAATATATAAGCTTTTAAAACTTATTCAATTGGGAACTGTCGGCACTTTCCGTAAACGAAAACATTATTGATTATTTTCTCGTTTACGGAAAGTGGCGTCGGTTCCCGATTGGGACTTTCTTACAAAACCATAACCGTAATTGTAACAGGAAAAAGAGAAATTCACGGTCAGATCGGGATTCGAACCTAGAACCCACCGAACTTTAGACGGATGCTCTGCCAACCGATCTACCCGGTCGCCGACGATCGACCAAGTCTAGTTCCGCTACATAAAAGATATCAGTGGCATATGTGAAAATGTGACATATACATGTACCCTTAAGAAGAAAACACGTAACAATGTGAATTAAGTGAAAAGTAGTAGTCATCGAATCCATTATATCAAATATTTATGAGAATAAGAAAAACCAACAAAATATCAATATTTTTTTATCAGCCACATAAATCAAAACAACACAAATGTTTATGGGTATATTCACATTCCGTAAACTTTTTATTACGTACATTAAATGAGACTTTGAAGTGAGAAACTACTCTTGCGTTCCCCACTTTACCTTATTGCCATTACAGCTCTCACTCACTGATATCAGTATTAAGTTTTGTAAGGTTTTATAACAGACGTAAACGAGCACTGGCCAGGAACTTAAAGCAGGAATTCGCAGAGGATCGGAAATATCCCATCGATAGCAGAGTGCTTGATAGCACTTCATATGGAGGACGCTAAACATTTTAGTTTTTGTTTTCCAATGTATTATGTACAAAGAAATACAATGTTTCAATATTTAATATGGTATACCAATATTACATTAGAAAATCTTTTGTTTGGTGATATTTCGTTAGATATAAAATCAAACGAAGTTGTTTGTAAGCATGTTCAAAGATTTATTGTTGGTAGTGAATGGTTTGCGTAAATACAGGTCAATATATAGTGCCATCTAAAGATGTTGACTCGTATACTGTAATATTATGGAGAGGACATTGATAAGTAGTAATAACTTGCGACCAATCCTTTTGTGTAGTATTTATGCAATAAAATTCATTTAAATTAAAAGAAGATATAGAAACTTATGACATAATGTTTGTTTTGACAAAATGGCAACAGAGTCTATCACAATTGTGGAGTTGCGAACTGGCTAGGATCATTACTTGAAAATTTTCTGATGTAGGCAGTTTTTTCAGTCTATCATACAGAACATATGTCTATCGTCATATCAGCAGATATTGACAAAGGATTGGTGTCAATCAGGGTGAATTTTCTGCCCCTTGTTTTCTGGGTGTTTTTCTTTCGTATGAAGTATCATATGAACGTATAGTGAGTGTAGCCACAGTAGTTTTGAGGATGGCTTATTACTTGAACAGCGTATTTAATATCGCTAGAAGTAGCGAATGACCCACGTGGATCATACAAGGACGTACCATGATTTGGTGGTGAAGGGAAGCCGGAGTACCCGGAGAAAACCACCGACCTGCGACCAGTACCTGGTGACAGCCCCACGTAGGCCTAGAACCCATGATACTGTACGTGGAGGGCTAGTTATCGTAGCTATCGGCGGTCAGACACCTTAACCACTTGGCTTCCGCGCACCACACGTTTCCAGTGAAGAGTTGGTATATCTTTCAAAACACTTCCAAACTTAAAGAGGTTGAAAACTTTGAAAACACAGACACATTTACATATATTTTCGTCATTGAATTCGCCTGAGTACCGGGTCACCGGGTCTACTATTGGCTGCAGTTACATAATTGCTTACAAACAAATTTGTTTGTTTAGAAAACAAATCACTGGTAACCAGGATAAGCATTCCTTCTAAACACATACACCAGTAACATTTTAGACGGGAGTAAATACCTACAATTACAAGTATCAACAAATGGAATCATATCCTGCTTATATTCCAAAAAACGACAGATGACATTGATAATCAAACCAGTTAAATACGTTTTTAATGCAAAGTTCACCGATCGGTGTCAGATAAAACGGGAACTTACGTGGTATGTTGTATATATGTCACACTATTTCACACACCGCTGAATAAACATTTAAAACATTTATTTAAAAAAACGAGACTGCCTCGAAAAGGATGTAATCTTGGTTGAAAGTTTAATTACCCAAGATAACACCCTAGAATTCAATTAGCCATGCTAGCTATACATTTGAAATGTAGTTTATCCCCAAGTAGTCTTTTGAAGTTTATTATGTGTACCATTGCAATTTCAGACCACAAAATAAGGCTCTGTTGATAGGTGTTTTGGTTTGTTGACACCCGTGTGAGGATGCATATCGCTTCTTTTTCAATTGTACAAACTTTCCTCGTCAAAGGCGAGCATTATAACAAAGTTTACACTCACTAAACATTAACATTGACTATACCCTTCATTTACTACTTTGTGAAAACCATCATTTCCCCGTAGATTTGGAAGTGGCATTGATTAGAAATGTGGATATTTTTAATTAAAACCAGCAAAAGAACAAAGAAAACAACCGTAAAACAAAACTTAAATACGTTGTGTGCGTCTTCGTTGTTTTTTAAAATTTAAATTCGTTTGTCTCTATTTGTGGAGAGGGCGTCAATATTGTGGTAATAATTTGTGCCCAATCTAATTGCGTTGCTTCTGTCATAACATATGTTTAAATCAATTATATTGATAAAATGTCTGCTATCCGATACATTCGAAAACCATCGGCACTTTTTGTATTTTCTCGTTTAAGGTCTTGTCTCACCTAGCCGATTTGGGTCGTCGGAGCACAAGGTTCGGGGATCGCTACTAGTACGGCAGCGCAACGGTATCACATCGCTATGAACGGTAGTTCATCGTAATGACATCGTCAGGACATCGGCGAAAAATTTAGCAACAGCAGGCGACGGTATAATTGTTTGAACATGCTAAAAAAAATCCGCCGTTGCGCTGCAACGGGACCACAACGGCAGTACATCGGTAGTACTCCGTTATGGCTTCGTTAATGTCGGTAGAGCACCGATAGCGCCCCGTAATGGATCGGCGACTCTCCGGTGTCCTCAATGCGAACAGAACCGGTACCGATGTGATACCGTATTACTACCGAATACCACCGAAGCAGTTCTGATGCGCCGCCAATGTACTAACGATATACTACAGTAACATCGATCGGAAGCGCAACGGTAACATTCCGCTATACATGTACCTCCGGTCAACGGTATCACTCCGCTATACATGTACCCCCGGTCAACGGTGGCACATGTACATGTTAGAACAACGGCGGCGCCTCGGATATCGGTTTAACATCGGCGGCGCTTCGGTAACACTGATGAGGTAACAGAAAAGTGGTATGTTTTCGGATGCACATAGAATTTTACATCAGTAGAACCACGGTATCACAACGGGGACGCTGGTACTATATCGGTAATGCTACGGTCAATTTTGATTTTTTATGTGCTTTCTCGCCGGAGCCCTTTTTGCTCCGGTTTAGTCCCGGCGAGGTACATCGGTCGTGTGTGACGCCCCTTTACGGAAAGAGCCGATGGTCCCCGATTGCTGTAAAAATGAATTGCGTGTAAATGGTAAATGTAGCAATCCGCTAGTCTACCGTAAAGCCTATGCATGTGAAAGTGTTAATTTGCTTGAAAGTGCTAATAATCTACTACCGCAAATTAAGGACTATCCAGGTAAAAAAAAAAAAGCTTAGTATAAAACAATAAAGAAATTGTCTGCCACAAAATACAGACTTTTCTTGAAGAAAGTGTCGTAAACGACCCGCCAATACAAAACACGCTTTATGAACTGTGTGTAAGGTTGTGAACACCATATTATCCGAAACCTTACACAGATCAATCTACCATTTTCAGACACGATCGTCATGAGATGTTCTGTACCCGGTTTAAAGATTTTCGAGGGCCTGTAAGTCAATGAGTTACTTTTAGAATATTTCATGTTCGTATTTCGGTTAAAAAACCCTTACTCAAATGATTAGGTACCAAGAAAAGCAACCGGATATCTCATAGATGAGAAATTCCATTAGATTACTCTTATTTGTAGGATGTGCTTCAACAAATTCATGATCAGTTTAATGACCTTATTTGCTTTTAAACGCTTCTGTATCAGAAAATATGTATCCACCCTCTTTTATCAATATATTTCTATACATGTAAGGAAAGTAATTTAGATTCACGCATCCACCTGTATTTAATCAAGTATGACCAGAACTTTATTCAAATCGAGTTATGTATGACGTTGCCATTTCTCACTTTAACAAGACATTTTAATTGATAATTCAAATTTATTTCATCCCAATTTGGGAAATCCACATGTTTTGTAGCAGCCACGCATTAACAGACAGTCTTTTTACACACACACTTGTAGCAGTCACGCAGTAAAAGACAGTCTTTTTACACACACTTGTAGCAGTCACGCAGTAACCGACAGTCTTTTTACACACACACTTGTAGCAGTCACGCAGTAACAGACAGTCTTTTTACACACACACTTGTAGCAGTCACGCAGTAACAGACAGTCTTTTTACACACACACTTGTAGCAGTCACGCAGTAACAGACAGTCTTTTTACACACACACTTGTAGCAGTCACGCAGTAACAGACAGTCTTTTTACACACACACTTGTAGCAGTCACGCAGTAACAGACAGTCTTTTTACACACACACTTGTAGCAGTCACGCAGTAACAGACAGTCTTTTTACACACACACTTGTAGCAGTCACGCAGTAACAGACAGTCTTTTTACACACACACTTGTAGCAGTCACGCAGTAACAG